AAAACAAGAATAGCTCTTTGCAAGACTTGTCTTTCATGGATATGTGAGCTCTTGTCTTGCCTCAAAAGTTTACTGACAATGGGTTACATTATCAAGGCATTATTTGAAATGCTGATCGTCACCATTTTTAATAATACATAGTAATTAATACAGTTATTAGTCAATAATTCCTTTAAAGCCAACTCATATATCAGCGATGGTGGGACAGAACATCTACTCAAAGGTTACAGGGGACACTCAGGACCAACCATGAGCACATCAGGTCACCTTACTGGGAAAGCTTGGTTAAGGGAAAGCAACTCCCATCATGCAGACTCCTCAGCAGATCAACACGCACATTCTAAAACAGACATGCACATGGAACTGTGGAAAACATGCTATTTCTTTGTTTAGTTTCTGCTGCCCTGGAACTCGCGGAAATCGCCTGCCTTGGCCTCCTACGTGCTGGGATGATGCTGGGTGGTGTCTGTCACTGCCGCGCCCGTGTCACCACTGTGCCCTTCGAAAATGAATTACTTCTAAATAGATGTGTGACTACATTTTCATTTCAAAGCTTTGGACTCAACTTTTAAAGTTGTTGAAATGACTCTTTTTTTTTTTCCTCTTAAGCTTTAAGAAATAGAGCTAGCGCATATGTTTCAAGTTTCCTTATAGAGGTTAAATTACTTTGCAGTTTTTTGGGCTGTCTCACTCAACATTGCTTCCACACTAGTTGATGAACACTTGTTAGTTGTTGATGACTGCTAACTACTAAAAGCCATTTGTGAAGGTTAACCCAATGGGCTCTCGGTGGATTATTTTACACCCTCATCGGACCTGTTAGGAGGCATTTTTCATTTATCACAATGGGAGGGAAGGGGCTACTGACATCTAGAAATGTTGCTAAAGTCCTACAATCCACAGGATGGCTCCTGTAACACAGACAGGGTCAGCAGAGCCTGGGCTGATGACACACTGTTCAGGTGTGGGAACTTGTGACTGTATGACACAGTCACCTGCTACAGATGCAGAGTAAGGCAGCGAGGATTGGGGAGTCCCAGTGACCTGTGTGTCACTCTTGGGTCCACCCTTTACTAAAATATGACCCTGGGCAAACTACCTACCTCTTCTGTTGCAATCATATCTGTTAATGTGGCTGTGTACAACAATAACCAGATGGCCAGTTCAAGCCAGGGATGCTGGTGGAGACTGGGAAGTGATCAGTGTCTAGAGGAGCCCAAGGAGACATGACAACTTAATGCAAAATGACTATAATATCCTGCATAGGCTCATTGAAGAGAAAAGGGCCAAAGAACACACTAAAGAAATCTGGGTAAAATGAGGAGCTTCTTAGTTAACAATCATCTTCCGTTATTTATTTGCTTGCTCAGAAGGACCATACTCATGGAAGATATTCCATGTGGAGAGTGATGTCAAGTTCCAAAAGAAAGTCAGTCAAAGACCATTCAAAAGCTAAAAATGCACCACCATTACACTATTTAGGAGTTAAGAGAACTTTAAGAAATACCATCCACCACACGTGGTGGCACATGCCTGTAATCTCTGCAAGCTCAGAAGGCTGGGGGAAGAGGAAGTCCAGCTGGGGCAACAGAAAACCCTGTCTCCATAAAGAAAAAGCTGGAAGACTGGAGAGATGGCTCAGACGTTAAGAACACTTGCTGCTCTTTCAGGACCTGAATCCAGCTGCTAATACCCACAGCTCACACCCACCTATAATTCAGATCCAGAAGATCTGAGGCCCTCCTCCGGTCTCTGTGCTCATCACACACACATAAATAGTTCTTTCAACAACAACAAAACCATTGAAAATTTGGGTGCCATTCAGTAAAAGAACATTTGTCTAGCATGGATAAAGGCCTGAGTTTGATCCTCAGGACAGAAAAACTATTTCCCATAGTAGTTTTCTTTTTTCAACTTTGTTTTATTATTTTATGTGCATAAGTATTTGCCTTAATATACATACATACATACAC